CCTTCTGTTCATGTTAGCCAGAAGCAGAAATCCTGCCATATGGAATTTTATTTTCTACAATTACATACTGAATTTACTTCCATTTATTTTCTTATGGTACCAATTTTCTGGAATTTTCATATCAAAGTTGTATTCCCCACATTTAGCACAGTACCTTGGACAGAGTGAAGTCTCTCAGTTGTGTCTGACTCTTTGTGACTCCATGGACTGTAGCCCACCAGGCTTCTCCATCCATGGGGTTTTCCAGGCAAGAAGACTGGAGTGGGTTGACATTTCCTTCTCCAGGGGATCTTCCCCACCCATGGATTGAACCTAGGTCTCCTGCATTGAAGGCAGACGCTTTACCCTCTGAGCCACCAGGGAAGTCCCTTGGACGTAGTAGATACTCCATAATTGTTATCTGCAGAACTATTTAATTATGACTTTCTGCTCTTAATTTTCAAGGAAAAATTCTATTAATCTGCACATTGATAAAGAATCTAAAGAAGTTTAATTAAATTTCTTCTGATTTCCAGTTCTAAATTCTTTCCAGAACTACACTATTACTGTAGGCTTTAAAGGCAATTTTTTATTTTCCTTTAATTCTTGTAGAATTTTTCAAGACTGAATTTTTAAAAAGAATTCTTCCTGGAATAAGAAAGATATATTCAGATCTTTCTTATCCTGCTACCATCACCAAAAGGCAGGGACTGTGGCCTGTCCATGGCTGCATTGACTGAATATTTCAATAAGTTTCTGGTAGCTTAAACTAAAGTACCACATAGAAAGGTATATGATCTTATTTTCAAGAAGCAGATTAGTACAAAAGTGGATAACTCAAGTTTGTTGAATAAGCAAGGATATGCAAGTACAAGTCAGGTTATAGAAAGTTCTTATGTCCTAAACAAAACGTTCAAACACAAGACTGTTCCATCAAAAATTTGACAAGTTTACACTTGAATGTTTTTAGACATGAGGTTGGTATGCATAGTGTATAGCCTAATTTTCAGTGATTCTCAAATGTTCATCTACTGTGGCATCTACAGTTCATCTACTGTACTTCTCCCTCTCTTTCCAGCACACTGCATAATTTTATACACAAAAGCTACAATCCTCAGCATACTTTCTATCTTTCCTCTTCTGGTTTTCTACCTCTTTACTTCCTTTTGATCTACTGTCAAGAATTGTAATTTTTAAAGAAACTAGGATAAAAACAGAGGAAGGCAGTGAAGAAAGGAACTATATTATGGCCACCTAACAGGAAATATCCAAACAGAAAAGAATAACTGTCCACTGGATATATTTCATACTTCTGTTAATATAGATATAGTGCTAAGAACTGTGATCTGAAAAAGGAAAAGTCATTGACTTCAAACTAAGAAACTACAAAGTGGAAATTAATGAATGTATAAAGGCCTACAAAATATAGCTATCAAGTAATTGATGGCAAGTAATTTCTCAGTAATACCTAGATAAATTTTATATTAAAAGAATATCTTATTCTTAACAAAACTTGATTGTAATTTTTTAAAATACTTCTATTTTATAGAAAAATATATAGAGTTTATGTGGCTATAGGGGCATTCCATAGTTAATTTGATGTGGGGTGGGACCTTCAACATTACAAGTGCTTAAGTTCCACAGCCTCTTCCTCCAACTATATGATCTATATAACTCTGAAACTCATGGTGCGGGTGGGAGGAAAGAAGCAAGTTGACAGTATATTAGTTTGCTAGGTTGCTGTAACCAAGTACCACAGTCTGAGTGGCTTAAACAACAGGAATTTATTTCCTCACGGCTCTAAAGGTTAAAAGCCCAAGTTAAAAATGTTGGCATGGTTGGTTTCATTCTGCATCCTCTCACCTTGACTTATATATCGTTTTCTTCTTCTTGTGTCCCCACATGGTCTTTCCTCTGTGCAAACATGTCCACATTGAAATTTCCTTTTTTTAAAAAAGTAAGGAAACCAATCATATTGGAGTAGGGTTCACCCTCAAAAACCTCATTTTAACTTAATCACCTCTTTAAGGACCTTATCTCTAAATGCAGTCACATTCTGAGGAACTGGGAGTCAGAATCTCAACATATGAATTTGGGTGGGAGATGTAGGACAATTCAGTCATAATATACACATCATATATCTCTGCATCATCCAGAACCCTCAAGAGACAGAGTGTGAGTAAGTATTAAATACCAAATGATGTTCTTATTTCAACCTCATTGATTAGAGTCAGTCTGTAATAAACACCTTAAGGCATATTTAAAATACGTTACCTGTCTGGCTGTCTGTCTGTCTGAATTTGCAGTATTTAGTGGTTTGTTTGGTGTTTGCTATTGTTATTTGTTTTTACTTTGGGGGAGTTTTCTTTCATAGTTCAGTGAAATATGGGAAAATAGTGAATCATTATGAAATGCAGTCTTGAAACTAAAACCACAAAAAAATTTTTAGGAATAAATCAGAGCCCTGTCTGATAGCTCAGTTGGTAAAGAATTTGCCTGCAGTATAGGAGACCCCAGTTTGATTCCTGGGTCAGGAAGATCCCCTGGAGAAAGGAATGGCTACCCACTCCAGTGTTCTGGCCTGGAGAATTCCATGGACTGTATAGTCCATGGGGTCACAAAGAGTTGGACACAGCTGGGCAACTTTTTACTTCAGAGAACCCTGTGGGGAAAGAAGATTTTTCATTAATGTTATTTTAATGATTATACTAATTTGGGGGGGGATTTGTCAGTGAATAGTAATATCATTTTTTAGAGAAGCAATTTGACAATATCTATGAAGAATGAAAGGGTATACACCCTTTAGCATATAATTCCAGGCTAGGAATTTAATATCAGGAGATAAAAGATGAGCACAAAGATTTTGCACAAAGATGCTCATTATGTCTTTGTTTTTAGTAGTGAAAAATTGGGAGCAATCTACTAAAAATTTTTTGAAGACTATTTAATGACTCATGAAAAAGCTTGCAGTGTAATATAAAGGGATTAAAAATGCAGGATACAATGCTGAATACACACAATAATCCTAATCTGAATGTGTATGTATTTATGTCTGGAAGGATGTCATTTTAAACATTATTTAGACCTTTTCCAATGACCATGTTTTCATGATCAGAGCAAAACATATGTTCTAAAAAGTGAATTGATATCCTAGTTGATTGTAGCTATGTTTATAGGTATTGTCAGTGAATAGTAATATCATTTTTTAGAGAAGCAATTTGACAATATCTATGAAGAATGAAAGGGTATACACCCTTTAGCATATAATTCCAGGCTAGGAATTTAATATCAGGAGATAAAAGATGAGCACAAAGATTTTGCACAAAGATGCTCATTATGTCTTTGTTTTTAGTAGTGAAAAATTGGGAGCAATCTACTAAAAATTTTTTGAAGACTATTTAATGACTCATGAAAAAGCTTGCAGTGTAATATAAAGGGATTAAAAAAGCAGGATACAATGCTGAATACACACAATAATCCTAATCTGAATGTGTATGTATTTATGTCTGGAAGGATGTCATTTTAAACATTATTTAGACCTTTTCCAATGACCATGTTTTCATGATCAGAGCAAAACATATGTTCTAAAAAGTGAATTGATATCCTAGTTGATTGTAGCTATGTTTATAGGTATATAGGGGTTTCCTTTTTTCATCCTAGCATAAAGGAGCTTAAAATTTCAAGGCATGTAGTTCTCATCAAACAGTGATGAAGATATTTCTACCTATTTTGAGTTTTTTCCCCAAATTTCTTTTACGTTATTTTATACCATAATGTTTTCAACTCCTTTTCTATCTTGATGTTGCCTCTGTAGAATTTTGCTGAGTGAAATTCTTATAAAGTGCAGAAAAGGTAAGATATTATATACAAAGGATATACTTCAGTGAATATCCTCATTCAATTCAGCACTAGTATAGTACAGTAGCTAAGAGTACCAGCCCTTTTTCGGTATAAGAGGAAGGGGCAGCACTGGGTTTTGGAGACCACATATGGTGAGTTGGGCATTCATATGAGGCACCAGCCTCATGCAGGAAAGCAAAACCAGAGTGTGCAGAGGAGAGGGTATGCTTCCTGAGCAGATCAGGGGTCATGATAGCAGATTGGTCATGATCTGCATGATAGCAGAGAGACTGATCATGAAACTCTATTAAAGAAAATGGGACCTAGGTTTCTTATTATTGAAGAAGTGGATAACAAATATTAGAAGGGAGAAAGCCAGAAATAATAACCTTGTGTTTTTTTTAATTGGAACTGGATGTATTGATATAAACCCATGGATTTCAAGAAATGTAAAGAGAGAAATAAATATAGATTTCAATATGTGCATGCATCTACATACACACACACACACACACACACACACACAGACACACACTCTCTGGTTATATCCACTAACATTCCACTGATAATGAACACAACTAGTGCTATATATTGACTTCTTTTATATATATATATATATAGACTTCTAAATAACATCCTCCACTAACAGGAACTCAGACTCCTTGAAGAAATGACAAATTTAAGGTGTAGGCCTAGAAAATATTTTTGTATCAGAAAGAAATATATCCAAAGAATAATAGGAACAATTCAAAGGACAATAATATTGGACATAAGGTATACAAATAAAACATAGTGACTGCATAGTATAGGACATTTTAAAACTCTTCAGTATTATTTAATCTCTAAACAGACTTCTCTGGTGTTTTAGATGGTTAAGAATCTGTAACAGCTACCTACTCCAATATTCTTACCTGTAGAATTCCATGGATAGAGGAGTCTGGCAGGCTACAGTCTATGGGATCACAGCCAGACACAACTGAGGGACTAAAAAAAAAAATCTCTAATTCTTGGGCTGACCCAAAAGTTCATTTGGTTTTTCTGTAAGATATTATGGAATATATTCAAAATAAAAATCTATGTATAAATCCCCCCCAAAAAAACTTATTTTGCAAGAAACTATCATAGCAATTCTTACAAACTTAAAATTAACTGGCTTTTCCCCAATTTATGTCTGATTATAGGCAACAGGTTCAAGGGTTGGTGTCTTAACACAAAATGCAGTTAATATGGGACTTTCAGTTATCATTTCCTGCATGTGCGGATGGGAGATGACACTGCTGATTCTGAGTGTTGCTCCAGCACTCGCTTTCACAGGAATGATTGAGACAGCAGCAATGACTGGATTTGCCAACAAGGATAAGCAAGCACTTAAGCGTGCTGGAAAGGTAAAATAAAGACCATTGTTACCATCATAATATTTCAAGAGAAAATCAATAAGAGATTCCATTTTTAACATTAACTTCCTTTCTTAAGAATCTGTAAAGTGGTGTATATGTATTGAAATCCATACAAATCAATTTAGGATGGGTATAGATATGTCATAGCGGTAGGGGGTACATAATTTAGAGCATGGGCTATGCCGTCAAATTGGCCGAATTAGAATCCAGATTCTATCACTAACAAATGTGTGATATGAGCAAGTTATATCAACATTTCTGGACTTCAATTTCTTCCTTATAAAGTAGAAATAAAATACTATCCACTTATAGATCTTTATGAGTACTACAGAAAACAGTCTTATTAGGTATATGCAATAGTATCTGGAAAGCAATATGCACTCAATAATGTCAGTCAGTATTACTGTTAGCAAATTGTGGGGGAATTTGTTAACATTGTGATTGCCCATTCTCTAATTATTGAATAATTAAATTTCTTGAATAATTACGGGTATTCCATTTTTCAAAATAAAGAGGAAATATAATATTTACTAAATGCAAGGCAAGGTACTGCTAATGGGAGTGCCTAAAACAAAACTTTATACTGATCAAAATGAACAATGTATTTACTTAGAAAATGCTATGACATATATAACTTTCTTCCCTGGTACCTCAGTCAGTAAAGATTCTGCCTGCAATGCAGGAGACCAGGGTTCAACTTGGGATGGGAAGATCCCCTGGAGAAGGAAATGGCAACCCACTCCACTATTCTTGCCTGGAAAATCTCATGTACAGAGGAGCCTGGTGGGCTACAGTCCATGAGGTTGCAAGGGTCGGACATGACTTAGCAACTAAACCCACATGTAACTTTCCCAGGATCAGTCATATTCATAACAATCATCATTGTAGTAGAGATTTAGGGAAATATTGGAAATGTAGTACCATAATATCTAAGAATTGAAAGAGATGTCATTTGATCCAGCCACTCACCCAAAGTAGGAATCTCTTACGTAACATCCCTGTTGAGTGTCTATCCATTTCTATCCACCCTTTGCTCCAGTTGCAGGTGGTATATTACTTTCCCAGGCTGTTGCCTACCTCTTAGATGATAGTCAACTTTTTTGTTTGTTTGCTTTTGGGGACCTTCTATCCTTCTCGGTTTTCATCTCAATAGAGGTCCAAAACCTGTTTCTCATGACTTTAGGAAGCTGCATCATGTAAATGTGAAGTCTTCTCTTGGCCACCTAGCCCAAGATATAGTATTAAAGATTTATATCAAAGTTGGTGAACATGCCTGAGTATGAAAATGATTTTAATATTCTTATGGTCTGAATCACAGTGACTGTATCAGATTAGATGTAGTATGAATATTCATGAATAGGGATTCAATGAAGCACAAGACTCAAATAAATCAGGTTTTCATGACCCTTGGGCCTTTCCACCTTTCCTGCACTAGATAAGGACCTTTAGGTTGTCTGCTGCTGCTGCTAAATAGCTTCAGTCGTGTCCGACTCTGTGTGACCCCATAGACGGCAGCCCACCAGGCTCCCATGTCCCTGGGATTCTCCAGCTTGAGCAAAAAGACTGAACTGTTTAGCATGTATTTGCCTCAGAGGGCTGAAATTTTGTTCAGCCCTCCGAGTGTTTGCAAATTATCACAATTCCAAGTTAATCTGGCCCTAATTAATTGTATTTTATTCATCTTAATTTTTAGGTCATGAGCTTTAGTTATAAATCAAAAATCTTTGATTTTTCCTTATTGCATTATTAGAGTAACCTCAGACTATACAATTACTAATTCCAATCAAATAGGCAATGTGTCCTTTTCTCACTGGCTTTTTAATCTGTCATTTTACCAAGCACCAAAACTTAGAACATGGACCAGTAAAACATATTGGTCCTTCTTTGGTTGCATGTATAGATTTGGACAAATCATCAAATGTTTTATTTTTCAGATTTAAAATTACCATATTAGTTTTTTTTTTTTTTAATTTATTTTCTAAGGCTGTCTTATTAGTCCTTTCTCCCTTGTGAAAAGTGAACCCAAGATTTTGGGTTCATTTCTCTTTATTTTCCTCAAGATTTCAGCATTCTTATCCATTTTCCTTATGTACTGCAAAATATTACAAATGGAGGTTTCTTTGTGTTTCTTTTGAAATTATGAGAATTTAGAGCAGAATCCAGGTGTCCTGAGCATGGTCTAGATATCCAATTCTCTCCCATAACCCAAGTTTCCCTTCAAATAACCTTGAGTGTCTACCTAGGTCTTCATCTGTTCCACAGTCCACTCTGCCAGTCTGGAAGCAGACTGTTAAAGCAGGAAATTTCTCTTTCAGATCAACATGTGTTCTCATGTCCAAATTATTCTAAGCCAAAAGTCTCCTCCATATTTGATACCTCTTCTTTTTGAAAACTATGTAACTATGAAGAAGCATTAATATATTTAAACTAAATATCATTTTTAAGGGATATCTCTGGCAATCCAGTGGTTAAAAATCCATGCTTCATTGCAGGGAGCACAGCTTCGATCCCTGGTTGGAGAACTAAGATCCTATGTGCTGTGCGGTGCAGCAAATAATTGAATAAATAAATATCCTTTTAAGGTTACAGAAATCAAAATGAAAAATAGCCATAAAATATCTTATACAGAATTGGAAAGACATACTCCATGTTACTTTATGGCAGTGTTCCTAAGTCCTTGGGCTGCTATTTGCATTTCTGTGCTAGAATGAAATAATTATTTGTTTGATTCTCTCTGCTGTCTTTTTTGGGCTTCCCTGGTGGCTCAGAGGTTAAAGCATCTGCCTGCAATGCAGGAGACCCAGGTTCAATCCCTGGGTCAGGAAGATCCCCTGGAGAGGGAAATGGCAACCCACTCCAGTATTCTTGCCTGGAGAATCCCATGGACAGAGGAGCCTGGTAGGCTACAGTCCACCGCTTGAATTAGCTCATAATTCATAAGACAGCTCCTTTGCATAGTTACATATGGATATAATGTTCACTAATATTTGATCCCTCTCCTTATGGAACTAGTCTAAATAGAAATTCAATGAAGACTTAAAGAAGGCTAAATTTAGATCAGTGGACAAAATCTTTTCAAAAGGAATTTTCCTTGAGTGTATTATCCTGATATATTACTTTCTTATTTTGTCCATGGGATTGCAAAAAGAGTCAGACACAACTTAGCAACTAAACAACAGTCTTATTTTGGGGAAAGGAAAAAAGAAGCTAAGAAAACTTATCAGAAAAACTTATTGACTTGATGTACTTAACATATCTTCAACGTGACTGTAATTCACAATCAGAAGTTTAACCACTACTAATTTGATTTCTCTTTTATTATCTTGTTTTATAAGATAGCAACTGAAGCTGTGGAGAACATACGTACTGTAATGTCATTAACAAGAGAAAAAGCCTTTGAGCAAATGTATGAGGACGCGCTTCAGACTCAGCACAGGTGAATGTAGATTCATACTGATTGTATTAACTATAGTTTGTTCCTATAAAGACAGTACTCCTGGGTTTCTGCAGTGGTTTGCCTGCCAATTCATTTGCTCTGGAATCATTCCTAATAATGGCATATCAGAATTTCTCACTTAAGTCCACCAAGAGGAGACTAGAGAGAGGAGTTGAGAGTAAGCACATTTAGAACATATGTTTTAGGTCCTCTCACATTGCCATAAACTATAACTGAGTGAGCATTTTATTATTTCCATGAAACAAGGTTGAGGAATAACATATTTAAGAAAGAAATAATATTACTTAGCCCTTTATACTGAATCTCTAAAATAGTTCACATTTAAAACAAATATATACACATCAAAGGTGATCACTTCTTTTAATTTTAAACTAGTCCTCCTTACTTTATCAGAAAGGTAGCTTTGTATTCTTTCACACTTATGCTTCTTTGGTTAGTACTGCCCTTTAATTTCCACCATTTATTCTCTTAGTGCAAGATTAGGATAGAAAATATTTTTAAGCCAAATCTCTTTAACTCTTTCATTAGGTCTTCTTTAACAGACCTTGCCCATTCATTTGAAAATACATAGAGTCAGTTTTGTTACATCGAACTACAGAGCCATATAGCTATAGGGAAAATCATTATTTCTGTTGTTTTCTCTGTAATAATTACTAGTAGTTAAAAAGGTAAATTCTTTTTTTAATTCTTAGAAGAAATTCTTTAAAATTCTAAATAATAATGTATCTTGTTTTCTATATTCATTTCTCTACATTTATTTAAAGACCTTGCTATACCTCATGCCCCATTATCTGGTAAATTTTGTGCATTTCAGAAATACCTTGAAGAAAGCACAGATCATTGGAATCTGTTATGCATTCAGCCATGCCTTCGTATATTTTGCCTATGCAGTGGGATTTCGATTTGGAACTTACTTAATTCAAGCAGGACGAATGACCCCAGAGGGCATGTTCATGTAAGTCATGCAAATATATAAACTCTGTAAACGGGTTATGTACTTAAAGTAACCAGAAAGATGTCTAGTTTAGAGTGCATTATCGTTTAAATAATATATGTGCAAAAGACATACTGGGAAATTTTTTAAAAAATTGTTATTTAATAAGTACAGTCAAGTCAGTAAAATACTGATGTAACAGGTGTATGTGTGTGTGCTGTTGCTTCAGTAGTGTCTGATTCTCTGAGACCCTCCGCACTGTAGCCCGCCAGCCTTCTCTGTCCATGGGATTCTCCAGGCAAGAATACTGGAGTGTTGCCATTTCCTTCTCCAGCACAGGTACTCTGAATTAAACTCTCAAATGAATCACTTACTACTTTGGTTTACTAGATGTGGGAATGTAAGGTAGACTATGTCTTCTTGTTATCCATTATCTCTCCAGGTAGAGATGGCTTTAACAAATATGATTGTATTATTATTGAACTGTGTCCTATTTTTTAGTTTTTGAAGCAGTCTATAATTCTGGTGATTGTGTGATGTAAAGAGGTGCTATGATGGTCATGCAATTAATACTTAATACTGACTCAATACACAGAACCTTATTGGAAAAAAAAAAATATGATTGTAAATCAGTGAGGTGAGTTCCTTGCTAAGCAAACACTCCAGAAGAAACACATGTAAATGAGTATTTCTCCTCAGAAAAGTCACACTGAGAATTGATCTTGGCATCCTAATGAGGCTGCCTCTTCCCAAAGCATTTGTTGGTGCTTCTATTTGAAACTCTGTTCACATAGTTATCAATTTCTTTACTTCATACAAATACCTAAATTCAACTTCTGAAATTAGAATTAATTTTGAGATTAATTCTGAGCTTCTTAAATCTCCTTAAAATGTCAGAATGTTACTAATCTGTATCATAAATGTCATTGATAAACATTTAGAGCTGCCCTGAGATTTGTTTAGATGAAAACTAAGCAAGGAATCTTCTTAGTTAAAGAATGATACAACCTCAAAATCACACCATCACTATCATGCCTGCAAATGACATCAGGCAGGATATTTCTTGAATGGGGCCTCTCAAGACTGCCAACCATTCTGTTTCATATGATAATCACAGTAACAACAAACTTGATTGAGTCCTTATTCAGTATTAAGGATTTGTAATACACTATTTGCTTAATCTCAACTGCCCTGTGAAATGTTATGATTCCCATTTTACAGGTGGGGAAAATTAAGACTCAAGGAGGTTACCTAACTTGGCCAAAGTCACTTTATCAGTAAGTGGCAGAGCACAGATTCAAGTTCATGATTCAAGATGCTAGGGGCTTTGCTTAGTAGACACTTATTATCATTAATCATTAGTTATTATTATTACTAACTTTGTGACAAATTTGCATAGAATATTTCTACAAAATTATTATTTTTAAATTCTTATGTAGTTTTCTGAACATTTAAATATCTAGAATTGGACTAATGATTACCATAAATGGAACAAGTGACTTGCTTAATGCTATTTTATGGCCCTAAAAAGTAGGAGAATCAAAAGGCCCCCATACAAAAACTCCTCCTCCTGCTGGCCTACCACATTTCCTGAATTTTTTTTTATTAAACTCATTAAAATGGATAACTTTTGGAGACAAACTTTTTAGCTGTCAGAATATATGTAAGACTATTAACATGAGAGCATTGAGTAATGAACATATTACATTGGTATTTCCCAGTGCCCTGAGGGAAGGAAGAAACAAGGAGCTATCTGAACTAGGAGCACTAGTATCATTTTTGATTTGTTTCATTCAACCAGACTACAAATAGACTAAGGATACTGATACTTTCATAGTGTAGGCATAGGAGACAGGCTGTGAAAAATATGGGAATGGGACTGTGCAAAATGTGAACAGATGATATTTGTCTTCAATAGCAAAATCTTCAGCTTTCTTGGAAATCCAAAGTGATCTCCGACTACCATGATCTTGTCATGAGTGTCCCTTTATCAACGCTAAATTATCCCTAGCTTAAAGGATGTTGCGCCTTCCAGAGTAGGACAGCTTTCTATCTCATCAGCTAAGTGAATGGATGACTTTACAAAGTTAACCACTTCCTACTAGAACCCTCTTTAGGTAAAAAGAACTTTGTGCTGTTTTCTAAATCAGTGATTTCCTGATTCATTAATCGAGAAGCTGATTAAAAATGAAGATAGTTGGAGCTCACCCCACAGATCTAATCCAGAGATATGTAGACCTGGTGTAGGGTCAGGAACCTACATTTTACCAAACATTCAGATTATTCTGAGGCACAGAACCTGAAGATCACTCTTTAACAAATATGAGTATAGGGACTGAATCCCAGGCTGCTTTCCATAGCTCCTTAAAACCTTAGAGTTTTCTTTTGATCATTTCAGAAACTTTCCTAGAATTATCTAAAAATTGGGAAATTCGTATTTTAGTTTATTGTATAAACTAAAAATGTTTTATTCACTCTATAAGATGTGAATGTATTTTCATGATTTATAGCTACCAGGATGGGCAAGCTGTCTCTGTTTCAGAAATGACAGTGTGCCTTGTAGAAGGCTTCCCTGGTGGCTCAGATGGCAGAGAATCTGCCTGCAATGCAGGAGACGCAGGTTTGATCCCTGGCTTGGGAAGATCCCCTGAAGAAGGGAATGGCTGCCCACTCCAGTATTCTGGCCTGGAGAATTCCATGGACAGAGCCTGGCAGGCTACAGTCCATGGGGTCACAAAGAGTCAAACATGACTGAGCGACTTTCACTTCACTTATAAAAGGAGATACACAAAGGGAGTCTTATCAGCAGAATTCTCTGATGTGCTCATAATATTACTTTATCAGCAAAGCTACTATCAACTGTAGCTTTTTCTTCTTAAAAAAAAAAAAGTCATATAGATTTCTTATGGTAGAAGCTGTCTCTATTATCATAGAAGTTTCTCTGAAATGAGCATTTTTTTAAAAGGTGATAACATTTTCACTCTGTTGCCTTGCAGCCAATGCATAAGCATTTAGAAAAATTTCTTGCTTAGGTTTTCATTACACATATGTGTAGTAAAACTCGCTGCTTCTGCCTCTGTTAGTCCTTGTAACACTTTGGGTTTACTCTACTATAAATGTACAGACTTTGAGAAATACAACATAAGTTTATTCTGTCTGAATTTTAGTGTCTTTAGGTTAGTTTCTAGCTGACTTGCCTTGTGCAATATAGTCCAGAAACCTTAGTGTCCAGCAGAGGTTTCTGTAACTCTTCATACTCCGACTTCAGAACTTGCCTCTCTCTCTGTTTCTTCCTTCTATGCTATGCATATTAGCAGGAAGTAAGCAGAGCCTATGGGTAAGGAAGAATCAAGGCATGATGCCTTCAGTATAGTAATAATAAAAGCCACAGCTTTGAAAACTGCCTGACAAGCAGAGCCAAGTAGCATATGTGTTGTGGCCTAGTCCTCCAAAAATCCAAATACAGTTTGTGACAGGAAATTGTATTGGACTGTGAATATTCAATCCCAGGTAGCTCAGTGGTAAAAAAAAATTTGCCTGCCAAGGCAAGAGACACAGGTTTGATCCCTGGGTTGGGAAGATTCATTGGAGGAGGAAATGGCAACCCACTCCAGTTTTCTTGCCTGGAAAATCTCATGGACAGAACAGCCTGGTGGGCAACAGTCCGTGGGGTCACAAAGAGTCAGATGTGAATTAGCAACGGTGCAGAAGCACAGAAAGCAAGCTAGATCCTCACTATTATCTTTGCTCTGGTGAGCCAGGCAGCCAGGGAACTGTGTTAACATTATATTGATAGTTAGGAGAACAACCTTGATTAGCCAAAACAAGGAAAAAAGTCTTCTTTCAGTGTTTACTGCCTCCCAACTTCTCCCCAGAGATTATCCAGAAGAGAGGAGGACAAGATAAGGAGACCAGATAGAGGGATCAAGCATTGAAGGGATCTAAAGGAGACAAATCAAGGGAGATTTGATATCTAAGGTTGTCTGAAGATTCTAAAATGGGAATCAAGTGATAACAAACCCCAACATGCAGGACACAGTTCAGGCCAGCTTTCCCCTGAAAGGAGCACAGTAGAAGGGAAAATACAGTAAACAAGGAAGTTCAAGTTCCAGGCCTAAAGTTTTCATAGCTATGTGATTCTGGGCAAATTGCTTATTTCTTTGAGTTAAGAGTCTCCTGATTTATTAAAAAGGAATAAATTTTCCTACCTTACTCCTAAGTGATCAAATGGTATCATATATATGAAAATATTCTATAAAACCTAAAGAAACAAATAAATATAAGTTGTATATTTTCTTTCTCCCTTCTGCTGAGAAAGGGATGTAGGGTAAAAAGAAAAGGATCTTTGTATTGTTACCTGGATGCAGGGAGAAAGAGTGTGAGTATAGGAATAATTGCAATGGACACCTGTGTGAGGAAAGATACTTTATCTTCCAATTCAAAAACAGAAACTTACTGGGTAGGGACTTCAGAAGTTGTGATTTGACCTGCTGTGCTAATCTACATCCATAGAAATGTGTGAGTTTATTTTCCAACAGGAAGTGTCCCATTAACTTTCAGTTCTGTGAGAGGAATAACAACAACTTAAACATTCACTGAGCACTATACTAAACACTTTACATTATTAACATATTCAATTCTCACAACAATCCTGTAAGATGCAGATAGTGTTGTTATCTCCGATTGTCATGCAGAAGCAGAAGCACAAAGAACGTGCAGAGGGTCACAGAGCTGGTACATAAGGGATGGAGTTTGGATGTAGTCCCAGTGGTCTGGCTTCAGAGTCAGTCTCAGAACCCCCTAGTATACTTCCTCTTGAAGTAAGTCACCAAAGGCATACAAACTAGATATGGGAGCAGGGTTAAAGGGAGACATACAGACAGGGACTAGTTACTATGCTAGATATTTCTATTTGGAGCAATTGTGTTAAAATCAGGATTGTTCATTTCTATGCTTTTTTATTGTTGTTCCTAGCCAAAAGATCTTTTAAAAATTTGAATTCTGTTTCAGCAGCAATGATGGGCAAGGAGATTTCTCCATTGCTTGGAAATGCTTGAAAGGATCATTGTAGCGAGGCTGCAGTGACAATGACCCCATGCACCCATGAAGAATCCATGTAACTAGGAAAGAAGCTCAGCATGTGAAAACCCTCTCCCGATCTCTTCGTGCTCAATGTTCTCTTTCCTCAACTCTAGCCAACCTAGAGATTTTTGCTATAGAATCAGTAAAGCAGCATAAATTCAGGGTAAATCCATGTAAGGATAAGCTGTAGATAAGATTTCTTCTTCCATGGACAACTTAAATTTAAGAAAGTTATGGAAGTTAAATTTTAGGTTTTTGAATTCTTACATTACGTATTTGTGGCTCAAGAATTTTTTCTACATGCAAATCATTTCTGAACTATGTAATGTTTCTAATAATCTTATTTAGGCATGAAGAGTCTATATAAGTATTTATCATAGATTAATACTTTGATAAATGTGCTATTGGTGACTTTAAAACATTTGTCATCATAGCAAATTACTACTCTTTATATATCCTAAATGGGCAAAGCTCCCATGACCAATATTAGCATGGGAAGTTGGCCTGAACATTTCTTGGAGTAAGCTCTTAGTTCAGAGGCCTTCAGGAGCTGGAACCAATTTGAAGAGATTTAACACTGTCATGGAGTTAGAGCACTGCTTATTGTGCAATAAATACTTAAGTGGAAGTGAGTGCACTTTAGTTCATTTATCTAATTGGGCCAGATGGGGTTAGGACAGATTCCGTAGCTTTGGTCTCTTTATACAGCACCCACTGGGAGAAAACTATAAGGGAGAATAATGTCCCTGACTAAACCCCTAGACTTTATTTTTTGGGGTTCCAAAATCACTGCAGATGGTGACTGCAGTCATGAAATTAAATGACGCTTGCTCCTTGTGACACGACTGAGCGACTGAACTGAACTGAACTGAAACCCCTAGACAGTCCCATCACCAGAAAATTAGTTTCCTCAATCTAATTATCATCAACATCAGTCCCTGTCCCATTTAACCTCCCCTCAACATAAACACAATAAAGACAGCAGCAGAGCTTTCAGCTCGTGCTCTCCTTACTAAAACTTTTCTTCTTCATCTATTTTGCATCTTTGTTTTCCCTTCTCCCCTTCTCAGTAAATTTCATTTTACGGGAGACCTAACAAAGACATTAGCCTTGGTACACTTATGCCAAATAATTAAATTGACTTTTAATTATGCAAATTTTAGGACAGTAAGATATTCTGGCACATTTCAGATACTAAGGTATGTTCTTAGTTGTTCTGAGAAGCCTACTCTCATGTGTTACCTAAATTCAGTACTCACTTCTGATATTTATAGCTGAGTATTAAGTATTTTGAGTGGCATTTTGAGCTCTAAATTTCGGTAAATATTAGTACTAAAAATGCCTTGACATCACCAGTTGTTTATATATTTTGTATGGTGTTTGACCTTTATAAAGAAAACAAGGTTCAAGATCTGAAGTCTATGTTGCAGAAGAGATTGCATCAAAATCCACCCCTTGATAGGTCCCATCTGTGGAGAAATTCATGAGACCAATGTGTTTGTGTTTACCTTGCTATGATCCTGCATGGCAAACAAGCAGCTGGGTTCTATGTGTTCTTTTACTGCCTAATGTTTAAATATTGCCAGTGAAACTTACATAATTGTTAGCTGAATTACACCTTTAGCTCTGCCTCTGAGATGCAGCATTTTTCACTCCAATAATGTGCTTTAATGACTAAAATGAAAAATGAGAGGAAAAATATTTAACCATGGCCACATGATATGCCACATTTCTGTGACTATTATCCTGTGTGCTATCATCTGCATACTTACCATTTTAGAATTAATATGTTTTAAAACTGAGATCATAATCTGTAGCAGACCAAAGATCATAGCGCTTCTTCCAGTCTGGCTAAGCTGTATTTTACTCATATATTGTTTTTAGGATCTGAACAAAGCACAATCTCCATGCTTTGCTCTCTTTAAATCTTATAGCACTTCAGGCAGATAACCAATCATCTGGCATCAGTTATCTGTTCTAACTACATTATATGCAAAAAAAGGGGAAAAAAAACACATTCATATCTACTGTGTAAATTCAGACCTCACTACTGGAGAGTCCATTCTTCCCATTGTTAGTTGAATTCTCTGTCAAATCTCCAAGCAAATGATCCTTATATCAAGGAAGCTAAGATGTTTTATATTCACTAGTTAGAGCCTTTGATCTGTCTTTCTAATTGGAAGAGAAATTTTTAAGATTACCTGAGCTCCAAAGTTATTTTGTTGTATAGGAAAGGGATAATCAATATGTGGTAGAAAATTACAAAAGAGCTATATCATTGTTGGGCCTTGAGCATTAATGGCTCTATCTGGATCAAAAGATTATATTCCAGTGCCTGATTTTTCCTTCCCTTTTAAAGCTCTTATTTGAAAATAGACCTAACTGAGATTCAAATGCTTTATCTTTTGATAGAGTTTTTACTGCAATTGCATATGGAGCTATGGCCATTGGAGAAACACTTGTTTTGGCACCTGAATATTCGAGAGCCAAATCTGGGGCTTCACATCTGTTTGCTTTGTTGGAAAAGAAACCAACTATAGACAGCTATAGTCAAGAAGGGAAAAAAACAGTAAGCACAACTATGATTTTAAATGTCCACTTATTAATTATTCATATGCATGCTCTCTAATTAGACTTAAATGAAGGCATTATTTGATAACTGCAAATGAGTGCTGTAAAGAATTAAAAGCTTGTATAAATAACTGTTATGGTTACAAAAGGAGAAAGGGGATGTTGTCTCGATCAAATTTTCACCTCTCCTACTAAAATGTACAGATTTTATATTAAAAAATATGTGCTTCTGGTTTATTTGCCTGATACCATGAGAATGTTCTTGAACACAGGATTGATTTATACATTTGATTTTATTTAGACTGCAAAAGTTTTAATATTGGATAAAGCCTTGTATTAAGATTTATTCATTTTTTTTCTCTGATAACATATGCAAAGTAAATAGTATCCTGCTACTTCAGACATCATTTTTCATGGAAAATATATGTGTAAACAGAAGAGAGGAAATGGGAACTATATTAAATTATTAATATTAAAACATATGCACACATTTTAGTCACAAACTCTAAAAGATACATACATAAATATATATTCAGTTTTTCTAGACATTTTAAATTTAAAAGAATAACTATTAGGTATACACTTGAAAGAAAATTTTCATTTAAATGTATTTCCCTCTAGAATTTTAACAGTAGATTTATATGTATGATAGCTTAAAATAGTACATTATCACTAGAACTTCATAATTATTAAAAGAAATGCTAGTTGTTAGAAATAAAAAGATCATGACATTCTCAAAATAGAATGCTTTAAGATACATGAGTGTCACAATAAAATTTCATACTTGTCTTTTGAAACGTAATGTAGGAAAATTTTTAAATCTTAGGATTTAGATATTTAGTAATATTACTAGTCATTTCTTTCTAAATGTTACAATAGAGGGATTGAGCATCTCACTGATAAACATCCCCATAGAACTGTATCAAAGGGATAGAATGTGGAAATGTTTCTTATAAAGATTATAAAATTAAGCTATTTAATCTCTACTTAATATACACATACTTCTGTCACTCCCTGTGCTTTATGTTTTATTTCAATTTCTCTTCGTTTCTTTCTGGCCGTGCTGGGTCTCGTGGCTGTGCTGCCCTTTCTCGGGTTGCTGTGGGCAGGGGCCCCTCGAGCCGCGGGACGCAGGTCCGTCTTTGCGGTGGCCTCTCTTGCTGAAGGGCGCGGGCTCCAGGCTGGGCAGGCTTCCGCAGTCGCCGTCCCGGCTCCAGGGCAGGGCTCAGATCAGGGATCAGGTCTGTCTTCTGCGTTGGCAGGTGGATTGTTCACTACTGAGCTGCCAGGGATTCCCACTCTCTGTGCTTTAAAAAAGGAAAGTCTGATAAAACAAAATTGACAGACAACGATAATTACTGAGGTTGGGAGATAAGCATATGTGCAAGCAGTCCATTACATGTTATTCTCTCTACTTTTAAAGGTGCTTGAAATTTTTCCATTACAAAATGTTTAAAATAGTAAAATTTTAAATGTATTAAAGTCTGGAAGTCTACAATATCTCTCTATACCTTTCCAAAAGGCATCAGAGCATACAGAAATAATTGCACTCTCTAAGCTTTAAAAAAAAAAATTTTTTTTTTGCAAATAATATTTGTGTGCTGTAATGGGCAAAACAGAAAGCACTGAAAAAGCTAAAAATAAGCTGCTGTTAAACTCAATATTTTGGCACATATCGTTTCAGGATTTTTTTTTTCTAATTCTAAAATACTTAACCACAAGTTAACATTTCTTTCCTTTGACAACAGAATAATTTCATTGTCAAATATTTTTCGATACTCCTCCCCTCCACCTACCCCTGCCTCCTACCTATATACTGGGCTCAGAATATGCTGAGCATGATTATTAAACCTCACTAGTTAAAATCATTTGATTGAGGGCAAACATGGAATTCAAAAGAACCTAAAATCTTATGAACCAAATATATAAAGAGAAAGTTAATCGTCGTTTAGTGATTGTTCTGGAAAGTCTTTTATAAACATCATACTTATGATATACATAAATACTGGTTTACAAATTATCAACCACTAAAGAGATTGAAGCATAAAGAGAAAAATAAATTTATAGGCAAATGTCACTGCCAAAAGATCAATTAACACATAAATCTGAATTTAAAATAGAGGTATATATAAACTGTAAATCATGGTCCAACTTATAAAAACAACATTTATACATATAGTTTATGAGGGCTCCAGCTATTCTGAGTTAAGCAATAATACCTATAAAGCGCACACTAATTTTTTTTAAAGATGTATTTATTTAGAGCAGGTGGTCAAACAGCTCTTCTGCAGATCAGACTGTGACTGGGTACTGAAGCCAAAGGAAACTAGTATTTTTAGGAAGTCTGAGAGTTAAGACCACAAAAACTACAGATATAAAAATCTCAACCAAAATGACAGAAAGTACTGATGCTGAAGCTGAAACCTTGGCCACCTGATGTGAAGGGTCAACTCACTGGAAAATACCCTGATGCTGGAAAAGTTTGAGGGCAAGAGAAGAAGGGGGCAACAGAGGATGAAATGGTTGGATGGCATCACCGACTCAGTGGACATAATAGGTTTGAGCAAACCCAAGTATATAGTGAAGGACAGGGGGCCCTGGCATGCTGCAGTCAATGGAGTTGCAAAGATCTGGACACGACTTAGTGACTGAACAACAACAATGTGCAGTCAGCAACTCGACAGAGAGGAACATGATGTTTAAAATTAAAATGGTTGTGGAAACATACACAGTTTTCAGAAAGCACTCAGCCAGTGTGCCGTAATTTGTTACAGACTTTCTAAGTCATCCTTCTAAACACTGCCAACTTTCTTTCACAGGACATGTGTGAAGGGAATATACAGTTCCGAGAAGTCTCTTTCTTTTATCCAAGTCGCCCAGATGTCCTAATCCTTCGCAGTTTATCTCTCAGTATTGAGAAAGGGAAGACAGTAGCATTTGTTGGAAGCAGTGGCTGTGGGAAAAGCACTTCTGTCCAACTTCTGCAGAGATTTTATGACCCAGTGAAAGGACAAGTGGTAAGACTGAATTCAAATACAATTTATCTGTAGGTTAGTGGGGCTGTTGTGAAACATTCCCTCGGGCTTAAGTTCAGGCTTCCTGGTATTCACTCTGGCCATCTCCACACCACAATTCTCAAAACCATATGCATGATTAGTGCTCTTTTCAATCAGCTCCATTAAGTTCTGCATCCTGACCTCAAAAAAGAAATGCAACCTCTCCCTCCTTTGAACTCCAAGGATGGTTTTTCTTACCTGGCACTTTTCTTACTCTAACTTATATTCAGATTTTCAACTATTCTGTCCCTTCAAACGCCACCACATTACAAACACACAAAGACAACTTCCTGTTCTGCCTTCCCCTACCGCCGCAAAAAACAAAAAGCCCATAAAAGTCAAAGATTGTCATGTTAGTCATCATTCTGCTGCAATTTACAGTCTTTTGCTCATCACAGTCTCAAAGATTATTTGGAAAACCTAACAGTCCAAAATGGCTGCCTTCAAAGAAAACAACGAGTTAACAATGAGTACCAAAATTAGTTAACACTCAGCTGTTTGTATACAGCATAGCACATGCCTTCTTTTAAACTCTCCAATGATTTTCTATCGCAGTTAGAATAAACCAGAGTCCATACTATCAAATCAAGGTCCTTTGTGATCTAGCTCCTGCCTCTCCCTCCACACTCATTATACACTGTGTATCAGTCTCACTGACTTCTTTATGTTCTTTAAATACACAATGTTCTTTGAACACACATTGTTCTTGCTATTCCCCTGATCAAAATGTTCTTACTATAACTTCTTTACCAACATCTTCTCATCATTCATATCTGTCTAAAAATGCTACTTCCTTAGACAGGACTTCTTAGATAGAATATAATGCATTCACCCGTCCCCTTCCCAAATCCTCAGCACATTCTTAGTCACTTTCTATCCCATTATCTTGTTTCATGACACTTTCTTTTTCTGATGTTGTGTTTGTTAGTGTGCTTATTACCTGTCTCTCTCCACTACAATACAAGCTACAGGAGGGTAAGACCTTTGTCTTATTTATTACTCTTTCCTCAGAGCCTGAAGAGGCCTCATCATATAGTAGGTATTCTTATGCCCATCAGATGTCAGTTGAATTTTGTTACATCACTAGGCTTTAATAAAGCAGGGTCCTTTACAGTGGAGGTTGGTTGTTTTTCATCTGACTTTAGTACAGAACACCAGACTTCATTCTAAACTTTGGGCAGGTCTCTAGAATATATGGCCATTCCCAGAAATGTCAAGTAAGTTTAAGAGTTGGTACTTCAGTTAGTTATTAATACATGCTGTCTGCTTTTATACAATATACGATTTATGAGCCCTTCTTGAGTAACATTTATGATATGAAACAGCTTGAATTCCTAACCTTCTTGTTATGATTTGTATATGTTTGAATACAGTGAACTGTAACATGATACAGTTTTTGGATCTTCACATACCATTCTCCATTCTGCTTTTGGCAGCTATTTGATGGTGTGGATGCAAAGGAACTGAACGTACAGTGGCTCCGTTCCCAGATAGCAGTTGTGTCTCAAGAGCCTGTGCTCTTCAACTGTAGCATTGCTGAGAACATTGCCTATGGTGATAACAGCCGTGTTGTGTCAATGAATGAGATAAAAGAAGTAGCAAACGCAGCGAACATCCACTCTTTTATTGAGGGTCTCCCTGAAGTAAGAAAATGTCTGATGTCTTGAGTTAAAAGCTGTCAAGTATGCCCTAGTATTTTATTGGGTTTAAGTGGTTATTTTTATGTGCTCCTTGGATTACACAATTTATTTATTGCTGGCATCTAATGTAAAGTTAGATATAAAAAGCAAAATTTGAGATTATGTTTGTGTGACTTTTTCGAAGACCAACTGTATTAATATTCACTGGATAGGAATTAATTTTCACATTTTGATTTTATACCTTCTATTCATTTATACTCTACTCAGGGCCATACCACCATCATCCCCCTCTGGACCACCTTGAAAGTGAGTGTTAGTCGCTCAGTCATGTCTGACTGTTTGTGATGCCATGGACTCCTCTGTCCATGGAATTCTCTAGGCAAGAACACTAGAGTGGGTAGCCATTCCCTTCTCCAGGGGATCTTCCCAACCCAGGGATTGAACCTAAGTATTCCACTCCACATTGCAGATGGATTCTTCACCGTCTGAGACATCAGAGAGGACCACTTTAGTACCTTCTTGATCTGTCTTCCTGCTTCCAGTCTTGCCCCTTTACAATTCCTCCTCACATCGATTCACTTTTAAAAACATAAAGTAAATAATACCCCTCCCTGCCAAAAACCTCCTAACGTCATCCCTTTGAACTAAGAATGAAATCAAAACTTCTTGTAAGACTGGCAAGGCCTTCTGTGATCTGGCCCTGATCGCCTCTTTATGCGCTCACTCTCTCCAGTCATACTGACTTCTTTCTGTCTCAGGAACTTGCCAAGTTATTCCCTACTGCAGGACATTTACACTCATATTTCTCCAGCTGGCTTCTCCCTTCCTATGACTCTTCGAAGAGCCAGCTCCTTAAATTTCAAGCTCTTTCAAATGTCACTTTTGCAGAAGCCTTCCCTGGCCATCTTATTTTAAAGAGGGCCCATCAGCCTTCATAGCCCATCACACAGTCTTCAGAGTGCTTACCACAGTCTAAAATTACCCTGGTGCTTATTAATTTGTTTATGGTCTCCTTTTCCCACTAGAGTTTTAGGTCCTTGCCTGCCATTTTTGTCAGCTCTCTATATTGGCTATGACAGCTGACACAAAATCTCGGAAAAGTTGAAAATCTTGGCTAACTGTAAAGAGGGCTTTAGCATAACAAGCATTGATACAAATCCAGAAATAGTGCACACAGACACTAATGTTAGTTGCAAGTTGTAAGTTCTTACAATATCTATTTATACCTACATACACACATACATAAAATAAAAATATAGGGACTTTCTGGTGAGCCAGTGGTTAAGACTCCACACTTCCTAAAAGGTGCACAGGTTTGATCCCTGGTGAGAGAACTAAGACCCCACATGTTGCACAGTGCAGAAAAAAAAAAAATTATATGTATATACCTACTTACTTTTACTTATACTTACTTTTGATTAGAAACAAATTTGTATACTGTGGTTTTCTAGCTTACTTTAAAAGGAAATGCCAACGTTTAGTAAGCATTATATCAAATAACTAATCTAATGCCCTGTTTTGGGAGAAGGATAATGGTCACCATACTCTCTTTTATACTGCTAGATCATCCCTCACCATCTCCTGTCCACAGTAATTGGTTCCTCTAACTAGAAATGGGCCATTAATACAGTTTCCCTAACTTCAGTAAGGTTCTGCATTACTAACTATAATAGGAGTAACAAAATATTGTGACCCTATAGCTTTCCCCTTTTTAACCAAGACATTCACTGAACTATTGATTCAAGGACAGATTATTATCTACATAATCCTAATAGGATTTTTCTTTATGTATGGTAAAATGCTATCCATTTTGTATTTGTACCATTTGACTTTTAGCCTTAAATTGTTTTTTATCTTTCATTCTTTTCATCATACTATTTCTCAGATTTACCCAAAACTATATACTGCAGAGATTCAGCATTCTTTTTACAATCAATTTTGAGAATCATAATGTTATTTCCAAAAGAAAGAATAGTTTGTTTCTAAGTGTTTTTAAATAAAACTGTAGTTTACCTTCATATCACTCTTACCTGCAAAATATATAGAACCATAAAGAAATCTGGTGCCAAAATATCCTTTTGGAATAGGACAGGGAAATTACTAATCTAGCAGTAATGTAAATAACCATTTGGAGTGAAGAAAGGACAGGGGTTTTGGGAAATCAACTCGGAGCTATTTCCAGGGTTAAGTTATGAAGGTCTGAATTAATAAAGTAAAATAAAACAAGGAAAAGGATGTAAAAAATATCACAAAAGTGGAATTGTCAGGACTGAGCTTCAGGTTGTCTGTAGAAAGTGAGCAAGAAAGTACATAATACATTGGGCAGCTTTCTGGCATGAAAACACGAAGAGCATATGACGAGAGTACAAAAGCAGGAATGACAAAGTTTCACAGAAAACCACACCGAGGATATTGCTTTGAACTGGGTTTTGAAGAATGAGTAGCTCACTAGGCAGAGAGGGAGCAACACCGTTTCTAGGAGACAGAGTAAGCTCATGCAGAAACACATACATGTGAGAGGGTTTTATGTGTTTGAGGGAAAATAAGTTTAAAGTTCTGAGCATAAAGTGGGGAATTAAGAAGAAGCCACACAAATATGAGCATGGACTAAATGTGAAGGTTCTGAATTACCTGACTAAGTTTGGACTCTGTTATTATTGGAAAGAGGAAACCGCTAGACCTTTTTACACAAAGAAGTGACATGATCAAATTTTTAAAGGAAAAAAAAAAATCATTTGAAGCTCAGTCTTTTGTTTGCTCATTCAAGAGACGCTGTGGCCTCTGTGGCAATGGCCCAGACTACATGAAAGGGGCAAGTCCTGGTACATTACAACCTGGATGAGAGAAATTCAGGCCCATATTTTTCTTTCCCCCAGTTCCAATTTCCAAAAGTTCTTAAACGTCACACACTCCCCTCCACACACAAAGACCGTATGTTTGAAGTAAATTTGTTGGGTAGTCAAAATGACGTGAGGTTTTATGTAGTCTTTATTAATCCTACTTAGAATGAATTGTCAAATATTTCTACAGAACTTTTCACATATTTGATTATTGATTGCTACCCAGCCCTTTCCGAGAGTCTTAAATAGTAAGTGTGTGTGTGTTCAGTTGCTCAGTTGCGTCTGACTCTGAGACCAACCCAGGACTGTAGCCTGGCAGGCTACTGTCCATGGAGTTTTGCAGGCAAGAATACGGAGCAGGTTGCCATTTCCTTCTCCAGGGGATCTTCCCAACCCAGGCAGCAAACCTGAGTCTCCTGTGTCTCCTGCATTGGCAGGCAAATTCCTCATCCCCGAAGCCTGGGAAGCCCAAAATGATATATATTGCATATTAAACATAAACAATGTATGATGTGTACAATTTATAGTATATTTTACTCTAAAGTAAAAAAAAAAAAAATAGAATTGTTAAACAAATATAGCCCTGTGGGTTTCAGGTAAAGGATTATGGACCTCTATGGCAGATCAGGGCTAGAGCGTGAATAGCAGTCAACTTGGAGTGTGCTAAGGGTAACAAATCTATGGTGCATGCCATGAATAGAGCCTCCAGGCATTGGAGATATCAGCCTGGGAGGGGAGTTGAGATAACACTGGCTTGGTCGTGAGGATCCCTGAGAAATATATCAGGCGTAGAAATCCCCTAGTGCCCACAATCTCACACAGTCAGCTCTGTCAAACCACCTCCTGGCTCCCACTGGAACCACCCTGAAAGTCCTCTAAAGGGCCTGCAGGGAATCTCCAGAATGTAGTTGGTTTAGCATTAGATTTTATCTGATGTTCCTTCCAGGATCCAATTGGTATTTAGACCCAGGTTTACATTGAACAGCTACTGCTTCTTGAGTATCTCATAAAACAGGTGATTTCAGGGCACTCACCATCCCAGTGTTTGCCAGAAAATTTAGATTTTCAGTTGAAACAGGAAAGAATGAAATTCTGTAGTTCTTCATTAGACACAAACAAAAAGACAAAAACCTTCAGTTTAAGTGTCTGAAAATGTTTTTAGATTACTATTGAGACAACATGTATATTCATATTTATAATCTGTTCTGCTTGAAAGTGTTAGTCTGTCAGTTGTGTCTGACTCTTTATGATCCCATGGACTGTAGACTGCCAGGTTCCTCTGTCCATGGAATTTCCCAGGCAAGAGTACTGGAGTGGGTTGCTTTTTCCTTCTCCAGGGATCTTCCCAACCCAGGGATTGAACCTGGGTCTCCCGCATTGCAGGCAGACGCTTTACCGTCTGAGGCACCAGGGAATCTCCCAAAATCACAGAGGAGATAGCTAAAGTCTGTTTCCTTTGTAGACTTCACAAAGGACTCTTTTACTGGGCTTCAGTAATTCAGACACCCATTGTTTGACATAAAGTAAGCAACTAAACATTTTAAGTTGAAAAATGAACTTTGAGATTCAGGAGACATATCTGTTATTAAAGTTACTCACAAACTCTCTCAAAACCCCCTCTTGCTGGAGAAACACCTCCTGAAGGCAGCAAGGTGTGGAGGGAAAGGCAGTTGAATCAGACCACCCCAGGGTCCTAAGTTAAACAGTACATCATCACGTGCTGCGTTTCTCTATGATGATGCTACGGGATCCACATTTAGAAGGTTGTACAGTTGGACTTACTTTCCCAGTGGAGCTGATCCACCCACACATCCTTGTTTGGGTACCAATGGCATGTATTTCTCAGACAACTGGCAAGGGCTAATAGAGAGTGGTGTGAAACCCTGGAGAAAAGCAGAGTCAACAGGATAATGTAGAAAGCACGTGGGAGCCTGCTTGCTGATCCATTATGATTTAGATATGTGAGAAATTTCCTTTACCCTTCTATGGAGTGTAATACTGAAAAGGGGGTCATTAGTAAGTAGGAGAGTGTAGAAATTTGTGAAGTGCTAAATATCATGGCCTGAAAAGTTGAATGGACTGTTTTATGATGCCAGCCTAACTTATTGCTAGGATGATACCTGTACCACTGAGAATGGCATCATGACACCTGGAGAAATGTGCCCACAGTGATTTAGTAAGAGCCACAGCTAGGGAACCCAATGATTTCTTTTAAAATGATATTTTAAATCATTTTGACCTGAAAACAGAAGATACTTTAACTTAATGGGGAAAGATTTGTGTTTACTGGGAACTTTTTCCCTAATGATTTTTTTTTAAATGCTTGAATTTGAACAATTCCTTTGTAGAAGCAAAATGGCAAAGGTCTACTATTTGTGATCAGATTAGATATGTAAATGAAATGGTAGTGTTTACTGCTGGTTTAGCATTTATTTGCAACAAAGCCCAAGAATAGATTTCAGCACTTGTTGGGACACAAATTTTAGAGAGTAGCAAAATCTGAAATATTTAGATGGCTCTTGCCCACAGTTGCCATGTTAATTTAAATAACCAAGACTTGCTTTCTTAATTGCATGTTCCTGTAATAGAAATACAACACACACGTTGGACTGAAAGGAACACAGCTTTCTGGCGGCCAGAAACAAAGACTAGCTATTGCAAGGGCTCTTCTCCGTAAACCAAAAATTTTATTGTTGGATGAGGCCACTTCAGCTCTTGACAATGAGAGTGAAAAGGTAACTTTCTCTTCTTTCATCTCAGGATTAATATGAAATACAAGAGTGGAGTATTTTGGAAGAAATTAAGGTCAGTTGGTGGGGGGAAAAAAGGCCTGGAGAGAAATGCAGTCATAGGGTCACCAGTTGTAATTAAGGTTTTGACCTTTATGTAATGGGTTAGAGACTGGTGGGGAGCGGGGAGAGAGTTGGGGCACAAGGCATCTTATGTGTTAGAAAGGTTTTCTCATTAGAATTGGTCTCATCATCAAAATGGTCCCAATTCTTGAAATGCTTCTCCACTCAAGGAAAAAGTCCAAGGAAGATTACTTTCCTGTTTTATTATTATTCTAATGATACCAAACAAAATAATAAGGTAAACGACATATGTAAGAGAGTGATCTACACAGCAGTGCTGGAGCCTGCTAGTTTCTCTACCTTCTTTAGAATATTTGCTCAGTTTGAAAAGGAAACAAGGGGGCAAATAGACATGTAACAATAGGTGTACAGTTCAAGCTTCTTCTCATGTTTAATTTTACTGTATTCTTGTCCCTTAGTAGTTCTTGCATATATAGTATGTTCTTATTTGTTAAATGAAAGCTGGTTAAATGAATAATAATCTTCAATATTTATTAAGTGCTTATTATACACTACTATCTCAATCCTCACAACAGTTTGATTAATTATTTTTTACTATGTTCAATTTACAGATCAGCACACTAAGGCTTAGAAAAAGTTAAATAACTTCCTTAAATCCCTTGTGGCTCAGTTGGTAAAGAATCCATCTGCAATGCAGGAGACCTGGGTTCGATCCCTGGGTTGGGAAGGTCCCCTGGAGAAGGGAAAGGCTACCCACTCCAGTNGGTAAAGAATCCATCTGCAATGCAGGAGACCTGGGTTCGATCCCTGGGTTGGGAAGGTCCCCTGGAGAAGGGAAAGGCTACCCACTCCAGTATTCTGGCCTGGAGAATCCCATGGACACTAGTCCATGGTCGCAAAGAGTCGGACATGACTGAGCAACTTTCACTTTCACTTTAAATTCTAATAGAGTGTATCTGATCTACGATCCCATGAGATTAATCACTACACAACTACTATTTTTAGATGATTATTTCTTGATTTCCAAGGAGACAGTGTGTTATGAAAGAAAAAAAAATGGGACTTTTGGAATCAGACATATTTGGGCTGTAATTCTGGATTCATCAGTTACTAGCAGTGTGACCTAAGTCAAGTGACCTGAATTTTTCAAATCTTGGTTTACTTATCAGGAAAATGAAAATACTCCTTACAGAGATACTGAAAGGATTTAAATGAGATAACCGTCATTAGAATATTTTATATATTCGGCAAATAATCGGATTTTACCTTCTACTTCCATTTCTTATTTGTTCTTGTTGTTTTGTTTTTGGCTGCACTGCGAGGCATGTGGGATCTTAGTTCCCCAACCAGGAATTGAACCTGTGTTCCCTGCAGTGAGAGCACAGATCCTACCACTGGACCTCCAGGAAATCCCCTTATTTCTCATATAAAGCATTATTACCTCTTTGTAGCTGAGATGCTGTTTTAGCTAGGACAGTTTTACAACTAAATTCTAAAAAGAAAAACAGACAAAAGAAGCCATGAGAGGAAATCAAGTAAATAGACAACTGAGTATGGAAATACTACTTCCTGAGTTTGACTTTGGAACCACTAAATACAAATAACCATCTAATTTTTATTGTCACAAAAAGCTACTCCAATTAAAAAAATCTTAATTAGTGTCTATAATTACTTATTTTAGATTTCTATTAAGATATTCCAGAAAGAAGGGTAGTTTCCTTGAACATAAGCAAATATACAATGAATGTTATTAGATTTCCTTAATCAATTTGACTTGGGCAAGTTTACTGGCATTTAACCAAAACTAGCAGTCACAGGCCTTCTCTCTTCCAGGTGGTTCAACATGCCCTTGATAAGGCCAGGAAGGGGAGGACCTGCATAGTGGTGGCTCACAGACTCTCCACGATACAGAACGCAGATCTGATAGTGGTTCTGCACAATGGAAAAATAAAGGAACAAGGAACTCATCAAGAGCTCCTGAGAAATCGAGACATATATTTTAAGTTAGTAAACGCACAGTCAGTGCAATGATGCTGCTGGAGCTAACACATATTTTGATCTTTGTGTAACGTAAAGAAAGACTGCTTAATAACTATTTGGTATGCTTTGATCTTGTTTATTGCATGTATCAATAGAATCATGCTATTCAAGTAGACATGTTTTGTTCACACACCATTTTCCCTTCAGATTCTTAAAAGGAAACAAAAATTCATTTAAGTGAGATAATGCATTTATCCTTCAATTTATAAAAAGCACATTTGCTTATAAAGCAATTTGCTGCAAAGTGAGTATTTTCCTATCAATTTCTGCTATAAAATTGGGAATATATTCCTAGAGGGAAAAATTATCCAACTAACTAAATTGAAAGATTTTGGCAAATAGACAGTATGATGTAGTTGGACCTGTGGCATTGCAGGAAGAATGATTTTAATTTGGAACATCCTGAATTTTCTAGCAAATATTAGATTAATTTCAGCTGGTCCTTTTCTCCAGACCATCGGATGTTCTCTCACAGTATCTCTCAATGCTTCTTTCAGTGAATATCCACTATTACCCAAAATCCCATTATAACCTTTTGTCATGAATATCCACTATTACCCAAAATTCCATTATATCCTTTTGTCAAGAGGATAGGGAGAATTATAATGTAATTATAATGTAAAATTTCTGGCAGAATTAGGTAGTTATCTTCCACTTCAGTAAATGAAATGGTTTACATGATCCATTCTGAAGATTACACTATTTCAAGCTTTAGGTTTGGCAGAGTAAGTCACAAGCTTACTCTATATATGAACACTTATTTACTTAAAATAAGGGCTACTTTTATTATGGTGAGAAATTTTAAATGCCTTTGTTATTATTCAATCAAGTAATCTGTTTAAACTTTATATGTAATATATGTATGATTTTAAAATTCCATGTAAATAACAGTAAATAACATGTAAATAAGCTGAGTCGTGTTTTACATGTACTTAAATATGTGATTCCATCCAGTGATTTTATGTCTGCTCTTCTTTGTCTCATGCATCCAGCCTGGGCTGGTGATCTGTTTCACCCTAGATAATATACATGAGCGAAACACTTTCTAATTAATAGCCCCGTCTAATATTTTATTTGCATTTTTATTTCAAAAGATTTTAAAGGATCCTCCACAGGCAGAATTCTCTTGACGTTACTGCCTTCACCGGAACAAGTAACCAGGCTGAGAGTGGGGCTCCTGGGCGCTATACAAGGATCTGTGGGGTTCTCGGCTGATGAAGGCAGAAAGTAGAGACCAGCTGCTTTTAGCAAACATCACAATTTAAAAATTTTAAATTGCTGTATTATTTTTAAAATGGTTTTAAAATATAACCCAACCAACTCACTTTTTATCTTACCACTCCTTAAAACAAATGGTGGTATGTTTTTATGTTCAGTGATCTTAGGTCATAGCTAATAACCTGGCTTTTAGCCTACTCAATGTGTCGGTTTCATAGTATATATAGAGTGCTTTGCATATGACTTATTGTTTGAAAATATTTTCTGTTAGTGTCCACCTGTGTATTCATTGTTTTAATTTGAGCTCTTATTCTCAGAGGGTTACTGAAGCAGAATCATAAGTTGACTGGAAAATTCACTCATAGGTCAAGGGAGGAACCTGGGAAAATTGGAAGTGATAGAAATTTAAAAGCTCATTTAAAAGACATAATTATTTTTTCAAAATGCATGGATAGTCAAATGTCTACATAGTAACCTCAAGCAACACAGCTTGCCTCCTTTTAGCAAAAGTGCACTAATAAAGTCTGTATTACTTTTCTATTGCTGCTGTAACAAATTACCACAAATGTAGTGGATTAAAAAATATATACATTTGTTATCTGGCAATTCTAGAGAACAGAAGTCTAAAATCAGTCTCCATAGGCTCTAGAGACAAATCCATTCCTTGTTCTTTACCTATGTACCTCAGCATGCATCCCTCAGATCTCTGATTCCTTCATTATACCTCCATCTCTGCCTTTTCCCTTCTTCTAGCACTCTTTTTTCTCTAGTACTCTTATATAAGGACCCTATGATTGCATTGGGCCCACGTAGGGCCAATTATCCAGGATAATTTTCCCATCTTAAGAAAAAGCATAGTATCTGTGAATATAATGTCTATGGAAATACACTGAAAAGCACTACCAATGTAATTGAATTTGTTAGGCATGATTCCTTAATGATTTATACTTAATTATCAAGGTACAGTTCAATCCTATTAAAATGTTTTAATTTTAAAACTACTTGAGGAGCTCCTTAAAGATACTTGAGATTTTAGAAAAGCAAAAGTTATAGACAATTCAGTGTGAAAAACTATAAATGAATGCAATCACTGCTGCATTATTAAACTGAAGGAAAGAATGGTCTCGTAAACTGATCCGTGTTTCTGTAGATGTAATAAATGATGGAATGCTATTCTTTATAAGCCAAGTAAAATTTTCTATTGAACGGAGGTATTCTGTTTGACCATCAGCTTTACTACAATCCAGTAATGTAATACACGGCTAAAATATTTTCTCCCCAGCTGAAAGTCAAGAAAAGATTCTAGGAAGATAGTTGAAGTTGTTAAATTACCAAAACATTCTGGACAATTGTAAAGCAAAAAAGAAAAGGAGAGAGAGCAAGAGAAAGAATGAACTAGAAAAAGAGGAAAAAAACTATTTGAAAATACTCAAGCAATAAAGAATATAATAGACTCAAGGAATCAGCTTAGGACTGAAAGGAAAAAAATATTCCACCATGAAATCCTCAGAAAATCTAAAAAAAAAAAAAAAAAAAAAAATTTAAATTTGTAGTTTCGTGGCCCTAGTTAAAGCAGAATTAGTTTGCCTATATTAGTTTCATAAGTTCCTTTAGCCCCCACTTTCCTAGAACTAAATCCCCTGGGAAGAGATGGGTTAAAACCAACATACAAGCCAAAAAGGAAAAGCCTGGTTCTCACAGCATGGTATATACAGGACACCAAAGGAAATCAGGAGCAAGAAGGGGTCATCAAATAAGAGCAAGGTCAACAGGGCTCCCAAAGACAGAGAAAGGGAAAAGAACCTCCAAAGTAACAAAAAGAATGCCTTCCATTATAAAATGAAATGCTCCTGTCATTAGTATCCACAATAATAAGATCAATAATATAAAATCAGCTAATTCATAAGTTTCAGTTTTTATATACCATACATACTTTTTATATAGAACTTATAAAATTAAGTTCACATTCATTAAGCACTCATCCATCAGGCACTATGATTGAGCCTTACAGGCATTAACCTACTGACAGTAAGATTCATTCTTTTAGTCAAACTTTACCAAATGAGGCACAGATTAATTAAGGAATCTTCTCAAAGTCAAACAGCAAGGAAGTAACAGAATGAGGATTCAATTCAGAAAATCTGACTCTATAACCCACACTCAACTAATACATCACCCTTCTAAGATGGAATTGGAAGTCGTAGTTTTGAATTGTTTACATAGAAAATAGCTTGCTGTGTGACTCCTCCTTACACAGCAAAAACATAAAGGTGCATGGTTCCTCCTTGGTTAACATTCTGATGTGAATCTAGATTTTTTTTCTGCCTACCCACACTCTGAAAAAAATTCTCATGCATAACCTAATTATGATTCGGAAGGCTCGGAAATATAGCTGCTATGGCAATAGCACATTTTCCCCACAACTGTTCAGTCTCTCTACCTTCAGACACCAGTGCTCACAAGTGCAGAGGAAGATTAGACCCAAGGTGAACGTAGACGTAGACTGTCTCTCTCACTGTTGAATCACCCCTTCTATCTTTATTTTCAGGGTATTTATCATAACTCTTTTGTTCCATTTACAGCCCACTTGCTGATGCATCATTCTTCTCTTTGGTTAAGATAAAAAAGATGTTAATAGCTGTATCATGCAAAAACTAAGACAGATTTACAAATGTTGTAACTGACCAAAAAAAAAGATAGTAACATAAGCATTGGATAAAGTGTTGGCTAAGGCGGAGTCCATCAGAAGTGGTTTGGGTTTGCTCAACTATACTGAGGCTCCTATTCATATGAATGACTTTCTAAATATTAGAAAATAAATACTGCTTCAGTAATAAAATTATTTTAAAGTGGGATATTTAATGATGTACTATAAAATTCCATCTATTTCCATATTAACAGAAGGCCTAAGACATTAGCCTAGACAAAATTAAAACATCTGGAGTGACCACTAGTGTATCACAGACGCAGCAAATACAGAACAAGCAAGAAAAGTACAAACATCACAAAATTTTAATCATAGACTTCTGAAAGGTGAAGGACAACACCCCAGTGGTTCTTCTTTATTGGAATCTTCAGAGACATTCCAGTCTGTTGGAAAAGAGTCAGCCTTTCTCCACATTCATTTTTATCAAGGTTAGATAACAGAGTCAAAGATAAAAGACACTTTCTTTGACTTGCTCAAGTAAAATTCCTCTAAAAACGTGTGCATTTTAATAGAACATACAAACTAAGAACTCAACAGTATACACCTACCTCTAAATCTTGAGTCAACTTATAGGTATCAGAGAGGTATTGAGATGAGTATATTCTTAAGATCCATAACCTGAATCAAATTCTCAAAGGGGTTTGTTAACAACAACAAAATTGAGAACCATTGTTCTAGAGCGGAATTATAAAAAAAAAAAAGACAAAACAGAACAAAAACTGTCTCCAAAACCAGACACTTTAAATATAGGATTCATAAGCAAAAGCTGTAAACTTGAGCATGGATAGAACAATTAATTAAATCCAATAAGTGTTACCTTATTTTCTCTGTTGAAGTTTAGGTTTATAAAGGTATAAGCTCTTGGATCCATTTTTTTTTTTTTATGTATTCAGAATTTCTTATATATAGAAAAGAAAGAGCAATTACTTTTACAAAAGTCTATTTAGCAACATCAGTGACTATCAGTTTATTATACACAATAGAATATTTACATTCAGTTAATAATCAATTAACTTTATTTGGAGGATGAACTAATATTAACTTGACCTCTTATAACAATTTGAGATAAAAATAGATTGGGCATAATTCTGGGTAAGTACATATACACACACAGAC